TGTTTAGTTACTGCAATTTCTGCTGCCTGCAGACCTGTGGTGGGGAGTTACAAGTTAATCTATCTTGTCCAATTCTTGGTGTACTGTCTTAATTAGTTCCCATATAGAATATCTCCCTGTTATGTGAAAAATTGAGGGTGCAGTTTCATACAGGTGCTTCTACAGTCACTTCTTCTTCGATGGTGGGTTTATGTCTGTGATCCTTTAGACCTCTCTAGGTCCTTTCCTATTAAAGACCTGGCTACACATCAAAGAACCCATACATTTTCTTATGACTGAGTAATCATAGTAAAATAGAGGTTTGTAAAATTTTCCTGGTGCTGCCTAAATTTAATTGGTAAAAATAGGACTCAAGGCGGTCCATATCTTTGAAAATTAATGTATAGAAAATTCATGTAAATAAGGCAGAGAGTCTCGAAGAGTTATGCATGAGCACTCACTGCACATTACAGAATCCAACTAGAAGAGACATGCCTTGTGTCTCCTACAGGAGATGATGTTGCTTTGCTGTCTTGGAGGAAGAAAGAAGTCTAGTACATAAGGACACTCAGATTGTGAAATTGATACAGTGAATTTTTGCTTTCCAAATGTAGGTTTTCAGGGTATTTTTTAAAATTAGATTCTCTTTTTAAAAATTAAGTTTACTGATGCAATTGACAATATTAAGTGTATAAATTGATTATTTTTGACAATTTATGCTGGTTACACTTATGTAACAGGTAATCATAGGATTCTATTCTTGGTTTCAGTTCCAGGGGCCAATTGACGATGAAATCTCCGAGAGAAACTGCAGAGATTGTCCTCATTTCAAGCATGTCCAGATCACTTTCTCTATCATTGGGACAGAACAAATAGGTGTGTGTGTGTGTGTGTGTGTGTGTGTGTGTGTGTGTGTGTGTGTCTGGATCTGTGTCTGTGACAAGCCCAATTACAATGGAGCAACTACTCCAGTTTCACAGGCTTGAGATGCATATGTTAATATTAGCAATCATCTGGAGAGTCTTTTCACAAGGAAATTAGTATCAGTCACTATGAGATTTAGATGGGAATGTTTTACCTTGTGATGCTTTTGAGGAGAATATTATGGAAAATTTTACTACAGATGTAAAGAAGAGGTGCTTGAAGGTAGACTCTAAGGCTCATAGCTTATGTAATGAACTGTTTACTAAAATGGCTGTCAATAATTCTTTCTATCTCTTTAACTAAGAAGTGAGGTCCTGGCTCTTAGCAGGGCCTGTGTGGAATAAAGAGTCTCTTGAAAAGGAAAAAAAAAAAAGAGAAGTGAGGTCCATGTTCCCCCATTTTGAATTTTAACTGCCTCTTTGACTTGCTCTGACCAACAGCATGGGATATAACTAAAGCTGTGGGACTTCTGTTTCTCCCTCTAAAGACCTTCCAGGTTTTGCTCTAATCTCCAGGAAGTCAGATGCCATGTAAAGGAGTTTGGGCTATTTTACTAAGTGGCTCCATGAAGAAAGAGAGGTCTTAGAATATGTGAGTCATGTAGAAGATAAATTAGGCTCTCCAGTTGACAAGTAGAACCAGCTTTCAGATGTATCAGTAAATTCTTGGATTCTTCACTCATTATTGAGTCTACCTTTTGACACCCTCCCGTTGATCATCGATTTGCTCGAGCGGGCCCAGTAACGTCTCCATTGGAGACTTTGTTGTTACTGTGTTTGACATATCGAATACGTCACGGGGAGCTTGCCAGGCTCTGCCGTGCGGGCGAGATACTCTCGGTAGCTTGCCGGGCTCTCCGAGAGGGGCGGAGGAATCGAACTCGGGTCGGCCATGTTGGCTGCGTGCAAGGCAAACGCCCTAACGCTGTGCTATCGCTCGGTTATAAACATGAGCCATCCTTTTGAGGGTGCTTCAATTCTCCCCAAAGAATCATGAATAATAAAATACTTTTTTTTATTAATTTTTTAATTTTTTCAATTTTTCATTGGGATTATATAGTCACAGATAAATGAAATTGTTTTAAAGATTGTCAGGGAGGAAAAGTGACTAGTATTAACATTTGTGTGATATTCTGTTGTTCTTATGGCAGTGAAATTAGTGTATGTGCATTGACAGTGAAGTTTGACATTGCCTCAGAGAGTATGCAGATGCTTACTCTCTGAGAACCTCAGGGTTCTGTAAAGGAAGCATAGATTGTCAATCCAAAAGCACTCTAATATATTCTGCTGGTTGGTTTGGACATTATATGAAATAAAGAATTACCAGTATAGTGAGATCAAAAATTCATAGTAGCCTGAATATGTGAATTGGTGGATAAGAGTACAAGGATGTCCTGGTTGAATTTATAGTCTAAATTGCAAGGCTGAATTTGTTTACTCATGGTGCCAGGATAGAAGATGTGATGCTAAATTTGCACGTGACAAATCTCAGGTCTTGTATCTAGATTCCTGTCTTGTTCTCTCACTCTCAGTCATTTCCCAGTTACTCCAGTCTGTCTAGTGGGAAGCCTCAACCCTGCTCTTATCAGACTGTTTTCTGGAGATTAATGTCTGGCCTTGAACTTCAGCCTGGTAATCCTGACCCATGCTGACAGAGGTCTAGTCAGTCTGTGTCTCTGGATATCACCTCTTCAGGACATTCTTTGTCGCATTGTCTTCAAATCTCTTTTCTCTGTTAAAACTTGCCCATTTGCCTGGATTACCACCTGTTGTTTGCTGCTCTCTGTGTGGTAGCATATTCCATCTGTTTTCTTCACTTCTTTGTAGCTCCTGGAATCAGATGTTTCTGTCTTTAGTTGCTATCAGGTCCTCATTGAATCTGCTGTATTCCATTGAAATGTTGGGTCAAGTAAGGCTGTATCAAAACACAGAGACTGATTCTTCTTCCAAACAATACCTTTCAGATATTTAAAAAGAGCTTCTCCCAGTCACCTTTAATTATCTCTTTAGGCCAAGTCTTGCTGTTTCCACATTACCATGGTTCCCAAGGTATGGATTTAATTTTGCTTGTCAGAATTTCTCTGAAAAAGCAGCATAAAAAAGTGATCCAGGGCCAGAGCACAGCAGGCAGGGTGCTTGCCTTGCATGAGGCTGACCTGGGTTCAATTCCCAGCACCCCATAAATTCCCTGAACAACGAGGAGTTATTCCTGGTCACAGAGCCAGGAGTAACCCCCTGAACATCACCAGGTGTAGCCCAAACCCCACTCTGCCCCCCAAAAAGAAAGTGATTCATATATGTCAAACAGAGAAATAGTAAGGAAATGTGATGAGCTAACTTTGTTATGCCTAAATTTGTTACAGATTGAGTTAAGTGTTTTAAAAGGATTACATCGGGTATGGATTAGGTTTTCACAGGCCCTAAATTGTATACAACTTTGGGAACTCTTCAAAATTATAAACAAAAAGTTAGCTTCAAGGTCTTGAAGATGATGACTTCTAAAGTTTAAGTCTTAGGGGCAGGAGCAACAGTACAGTGGGTAGGGTGTGTTTGCCTTGCATGTGATGAACCTGGGTTTGATACTCTGCACCCTGTATGTTTCCTCCAGCCTGCCAGGAGTGGTCACTGAGCGCAGAGCCAAGAGTAAGCCCTGAGCACTGCTGGGTGTGGCCCCAACAAAAAACATAAAGTGTAAGTCTTGTTAGTTCATTGCAAATCTGTCTCAAAGTTCATAATAGTGTTCTCTGGAAAATTGCTAGGTTTTCTTTACCATTACTGCTATCTAATCAGGTTTCTTCTCTGTATTTAGTTCGTTTAATAAGTTTAATATGGGTACTTGACATATGGTGGGGTAAATACTTGTGAGGGACTTAGGACAATGACAAACACATGAAAGTGTGCAGTAAATATTAACTTTTTTATTACTTACAAACAGATAATGTAAGGATGTAAGGATGTAAGCAGATAATTTTTCTTCTCAATTCTTAATATTCTCTTTGATGTAATGGAGACCATATTTGCCCTACCTTTTCCACAAGGTTATTGTGAAGATCAAATGATGAAATATGTGGGTGTGCTTTGTTAACTGAAAAACATTCACCACATGGGAGGCGTTGCAGTAGGTTTTATATGACGCTGTTAGTTTTAGAAAAGTGTCCGATTCAAACAGAAAAAAAAAAGTCCTTTATTTTGACTAAGGTGGAGACACTAATGAGTCCAGCTGAGGTGGGAGCGGGCTCAGAACAAAAAGGTCATGCGTGGCAGATGTTGGAGGCAATGACGTGGACATCCCAGTTGAGAGAGGGTTAAGGTAAGGTGAAATGGTAGAATTTAAAAGAAAGGGATCTAGTGATAAAGAAAAGCAAAACTGGGAGAGGGCGGAGCGATAGGACAGCGGGTAGGGCGTTTGCCCTGCACGCGGTCAACCGGGGTTCTATCCTTGGCAGCCTGTAAGCCCCCACCCCAACCCTCCGAAAACCGCGAGGAGGAATCCCTAAATTCAGGGCCAGGAGTAAACCCTGAGCACCGCCAGGTGTGGTCCCCGCAAACGTAAAACTGTCCTACTCTGTCATCCAGGGCCTTCTCCGGGGTGGGGCATAAAAGCCCTCCTCCTCCTCCCTGGTGTTCCCCCAATCCTCCAGTCTCTTAAGGATGACTGTGGCCTGAGAGGGACCAACCAGGCGTCCTTCCGTGTCCCCAGGGGCCTGGATCACACAGGTGTGCCCGCTATTAGGTTTTTAGACAACGGATTCATTTAGAAGAAACAACTCTTCAAACATCGATTTAAAAAAAAAAAAGGCATCTGCGGTCGAGATTCTCGGGTCAGGACACGGTGCTCATAAAGAGGCACCAACAGTCACTATCCGTGACAGCTCCGAAGGGGCGACGGTCTCCCTTCCACCGCAGGTACCCGGCGACGGCGAAGCTGGGAGAAGCCCAGTCGGTACCCCTCGGGGGCGTGGCCAGGTCTCGGGGGGCGTGACCTGAACGCGGAGGGGGCGTGGCCTGGGCGCCGGGGGGCGTGGCGCGGCCGTGGGGGGTTTCCGCGCCGGGAGGCGTCCCGCGAGGGCGCGGGCGGGGCTTCCGCCGCGCAGGGGCGGGGCTGGCGCGCCGAGTCCTCTGACGGCCCCAGCCGGGGAATTTCAATTTGAAACGCAGCGGAGGGAGGAGGCGGCGCGGCGGCCGGGGCGGCGGGGCTGAGGCTGAGGCTGAGGCTGGACGGGTCCCCGTGGCGAACGTGGTCCGGGGCTGCGGCGTCCGGGTAAGGAGACGCGCCGAGCTGAGCTGAGGAATGGCGGCCTGGGGGCCGTGTTGGGAGTGGCTGTGTGGAGGGGAGCCCGTGCAGAGCGCCTAGTCCCCGAGGAGCTTGCAGGGGCGGCTCGGATTTTTTTTTTTCCTCTGGCTGCAGCTGGGAAGCTGATCCTGGCAGGAAGCGGTGGCGGGACTGTCCCACCGGTGGGGGGAGGGCGTCTGGCTTTGGGGATTTTTTTTTTTTACCCCTTGCAGCTCCATCTCGCTCCTCTCCTCCCCACTCTTTCCTGGACCCCCTTTGCCAGCCAGCCCGGCCGAGGGTCCGGCTGCGCCCCTGTTGCTCCTCGCGGGCGCTCCACACCCGCGCTCCTCGGCGGTCACTCTTGCGGGAGAGTCGGGAGAGGGTGGGGGGGGCGTCGTGCTTATTAGGAGAGTGCGGGTCCTGCTTTGGGGGCGGGGGGGGGGGGAGCTTTGGGTTCAGAGCCACGCGTCCCGGGCCGAGCCGATCGCCAGCGCAGGGGGGTCGGACGCGGGGCGGAATCCTGCTCCATCCCGGGCGCTGGGCGCAGCGCGCTCGCGGGTCTGGGTTTTTGGAGCCGCTGCCCGGCTCCAGGGTGCGCGGGGGCTCCGGGTTGGGGGGGGGGGGCGGGGGCCGGGAGGCAGGAGCCGCGGCCGCGACGTCCTTCAAGCACGACGTGATTTGGGGAAGGGGGAATGCGGGGCCGGGACGCCGGGGCTGTGGGCTGGCCGCGCGCGTGGGCACGGGGCGGGGGACGGCCGAAGGGGCTGCGCGCGGTGTCCCGCTCCTCGGGGCCCGGGCTCCTGCCCGCGCCGTCCTGGGAGAGGACGTCGTGGGCCGTGGGCGCTGCCCGAGGCGGGGGGGGGGGGGGCAGCGGTGTTCGTGGTCTTTGCAATTCCCAATCCACTGGCTTTCCTAGCACCACGGACGGCTGGCTTTTCTCCTCCGGGACCGAGGGAAGGTTAGGAGATTTAAAAAAAAAAATTTTTTTTTTTTTTTTGGGTAATTTGCAGGGTGTGGACCTGGAAGAGGTCCGAAGGGAGCGAAGGGAGCGAGTAGGGCTGGAATTGGAGTGTGGGATTCCCAGACCTGAGACTTTGGCCTTAGCAGCCAGACAGGGTGGGTTGATGGGTGGGTGGGTGGGTAGGTGGGTGGATGTGGGGAGGGGCGCTCTGTCACTCTGCTCTCCCGCATCATCAGTCTCCCCTGAGTTTTTGGGTGGGGTTGGAACATCTCCCGCCCCAGAGTCCATTATTTTTGGGAGGGGTGTCTGTTGGAATCCACCCCACTGATCTAGGACGCCTTAAATTCAATTCTGCATCATGCAATCTGAAAAAGTCTGAATGTTGTGCTTAGGAGGGCAGTGGGTATATTTTATCTTTTCGAATCACACACATTTTTCTTTTTTCCCTTCGTGGGTTTTTTTGAACTTCTGGCATCCGAAATGATATGTGTGTGCCTAGCGTTTTTTTTTCCTGCCATTTAAGTGTCTTTAGTTATTATTTTTTTTAATTTTCCGGACTTTTTAAAAGTTTTTCTTTTCATTCTTCCATTTGCTTCAGTCCCCTGTTCTTTGCTTTCTCTCTTCACTATTTCTAATATTGTACGGAGAATTCGAATTTTCGTCCATGTACTCTTGTCTGCAGTTCCTTTGGGTCTTGAAGGAAACTGAGGCAGATTTTTAGCCACGGGATCTGGGGTTTGGAATTGTTAGTCTGTGGACAGGTTCTGCTGGGAAAGAAATAGTGCTCAGTCTTGTTTATTCCGTTGCCATTTGCAGTGCCTTTGCTGTGAGAAATCGCTGGATTGCTGCTGCAGCTACTGATTTGGCTGCAAAGCAATGCAATCTTGGATTGTGATAAGAGCCAACCAAGTACATTCGTCAGACTGTCACAACTTTTAAAGAGCTAGGCTGTGTTTACCTGGCAGAACAAGAGGGATCAGTCTTGTAATTCAATTTGGGAACCATCATCCAGCCTCAATACCAACTTTCTGGAGGTTATTGGAGAACTGTGCAAGTGGTAGTGGCTTGGAACAATGGTGGGGGATTTAGGATTAATTTAATCGTATCCTGTGTTTCTCACTTCTTGGGCAGAATTCCCACTGAAGTCAGTAGTGGTCTTGTGTGTAGAAGGAATGCTGAGAACAAGAGGCTGCTCATTTAGAGTAAAGGGAGAAAGGCAAATTTTCTTATAACTGCTACCCCCTATCTCCCCCCCCCCAAAAAAAAATTCTACTCATAACATCCTTACTCTTTTACCTCTAGTCTAATTAGTTCTTGGACAAACTACTAATGGCCTTACAGAGAAAGGAGACCAGTGGGTTGAGCTTCCTATTTCAGATTCTTGCTATCTTAAATAGATGGGGATTTTCTAATGGTTAAAAAATGACCCCCAAAACATCACTTAACAAAGTTAGAATTTATTGCAAGTGACAGTACAAAGCTGTGCTATCGCTCCTAGCACAGCAATAGGGCGTTTGCCTTGCACACAGCCAGCCCGGGCCAAGCCGGGTTCAATTCCTCCGCTCCTCTCAGAGAGCCCAGCAAGCTACTGAGAGTGTCTCGCGCACACGGCAAAGCCTAGCAAGCTACCCATGTCATATTTGATATGCCAAACACAGTAACAAGTCTCAAAATGGAGACGTTACTGGGCCTGCTCGAGTAAATCGATGAACAACGGGAGGACAGTTCTGCCATAGTGCTGCCATAGACAGTACAAATAACACTAGTTTAAAGGTAAACTAGAGTTCTTTCAACTGAGATCATATTACATAACTGGGGATGCATATTAAATTCTAAAGTTTAATTCCAAGTAGAAAAAGCAGATTTGCAGATTTAGGAGATAGCTCCGAAGAGAAAATGACAGCAAAATACAGAGCAAAGAAATGAAGAGAGCTCTTGCTTATTTAGAAAGATATCTTTCAGGAGTTGGATTTGAGTATGGGCTCTGTATTCCTTTGGTGAATGTTCAGAGGTTTCCAAGATAGCATTGTACTGGTCTGAGTTGGTGAGCTTGTTAGGTCCTTTGCTTCTTAAGGATCTTGTGGTTTACCCTTTCCAAATTACCGGGTAGGAAGAATTAAGTTTAGAAAAACTATCCAGTTCTCAGATTTTAAAAATAGATTTTTAAAAATCAGAGCTGTGTCCACGTGTACTGCCCAACCACTTGCTTTCAACTAAAAATACATGTACAAAGATGACAAAGCAGCCCTCCACCAGAATATTTATTGGCAAAATTACTCTGTAACTAGTAATATTGTAGTTATGTTTAACATTGGGTTTTGCTCTGAATCACCACTCTCATATTACTGTGGCAAGAGAACTACAAAGGGTCTGTCTTTGCCATTTTATTCAGGAATGTGGGGTTTATATTTTATATGGCAGAATGTTAGAATTTTTTTCTTGAAGATTTGAATTTGTTTCTGTTTCTACAGGAAACTATGGGTCCTTTTCTTTTTGTTTTGGACTGAAGTATTCTGTTTAGAAATGGAGGCATATTTCTGGGAAAGTATGAATTACTAGCATTTTTATAAGATGATTGCATAGTTTACAGTGATCAATACCACTGAGAGTAAAATTTTGCATTTCTAAAATCAGGATTGTTTCCTTGGAGAAAACAAAGGAAGTGGGCTTACCTCTCTCAACCCACCTTTATTTAGAAGCTTTTTCATTGGCTTTATTTTTTTCCACATGCAGAATTACTATACCTAACCACTATGGATACTCTCACAGATTCAGAAGCCTCAAGTAAATGTTTATGCTGGCTTTAGGAGTTAGCAATACTAGCCAAACCCTAATTTACTGCTCTTTTATAGAATCTCGGAATTTCAGGGCTGGACCTTTTAGGAGTCAGCAAATCTACTCTTAGCCCCAAACTTCACCCAGCACACAAACATTTTTCAGTCTCTTTGGAAGACTGAGTTAATGGAAGATTTTTATATGATTCCCCCAAAGATTCCAGACAGAGCATCCTTTGGGAATGCCATGTTTTGGCACACAACGGCAACTTGATAGTCAAAAGATTTTTATCATTCCTCTGATTTGGCAGTGCCCCAGAATAAAATGTAAAATGGAGTCCAGTGCCTGGTATCATTAGCCGAAGGGAATGATCTTTAAGAACAAATGCAACAGTTATTTAGAAATTACAGATAAATCAGAGAGAAAGAAATCAGAAATTATTCATTTCTAATATCAGTTAGAAATGTCTGATAGTGATGACAAATGTTTTCTTGAAATCTTTTTTCCATTAATTAATTTATTTTTATTTTTGGGTCACACCCTGGGATGCTCAGGGGTTACTCCTGGCTCTGCACTCAGGAATTGCTCCTGGCGGTGCTCGGGGGACCATATAGGATGCTGGGAATTGAACCTGGGTCAGCCGCGTGCAAGGCAAACACCCTACCTGCTGTACTATTGCTCCAGCCCCTCTTTTTTTCCCCTTTAAAGTGTGTTTATGTGTATTTTGTAAGAGAAGGAAATACAAATACATACAAATACAAATGCCTATAACTTTGTACTCAATACTTTTGATGGAGTAATGAACGATTGGACTTTTACATAATGGACTGACGGTGCTTTTAGTGCAGATTCTCAGAAAGTTAGAGTTGACTGTGGAACCACCTAGCAGCTATTTCATGTAGAAATGTCATGTACTTGATGACTTGGCATCTTTTATTTTTTCGTATTGAAGAGATGCTTTTCTTTTTATTTTCTTTTTTCAATTTTTATTTCATTTTATTTTTTTGTGGTTTGGTTTTTGGGCTCCACCCAGCTGTACTTAGGTCTTACTCCTCACTTTGTGCTCAAGGATCACTCCCGGAGGTGGCTCTGGGTCTCATGTGGGGTGTTGGGGATCAAGCCTGTGCGGGCCTTGTGCAAGGCAGCACCCTGCCCGCTGTACTGTCTCTCCAGCCCCAGAGAGATGCTTTTCTTTTCCTTATTGTTTTCCCTTGTTTTGTGGTTGGCCTGATCTTAGGCTGTGTTTTTCGTA